AATGGATTGATATGTTAATATTTTAAATATATGTATATCGTAATACTAGTATAACACCCGTGTATTACACGGATGCTTGCTAAATTTTTTCTTAAAGTCTAAAATTAATGTGAAAAAGTAGTTGAAAATTTAAATACTTTTTTACAAAAATATATATATTATTATATATTAGCATAAAAACTTTTTATTTGTGCGACTTACCTGTATTATATTATAATAATTTTTAACTTACAACATATAACTACATTAAAAATAAATATATCAATTGATAAATAATTTTATTTTACTAATAAAATTTGATAAATAATATTATTTTTTATTATTATAAAGATAAATATAATTTATTTATTTCATATATACAATATGGATGTCAAATCGAAGATCATCAAAAGATGATTAATTTGATATATAATATATGTAAACCCGAAAATAAGTACAAAAGTTATCAACTTTTAAAATACATTTATAATTCAATAGTTAATTGAAGGAAACAAATCAAAGTCAATGATATATTAGTCACTTAGGGTCTCACTATGTAAAATTACAAATAATTAAAGGGTTATATTAGTACAAGTGATATTAAAATACCTAATTTAGTTAAATAATATTTATAGAATGTCTGAACCTAGATTATTAATTATTAATATACAATATTATTTGTCCAAATCTAATTACGAAGCATGATTCTTCGCCAAGTAGGATTACAAAGTACCAGAAGCAGCCACGTAGGCTCAGCGTATTCTGGAATTATATATAGAGAGGATTTAAATTAAAACTATATATGACTAGAAATCTGCAAAGTCTAAATACACTTTTTAAATTAAGTATTATACGAATGAATACTCAACCGTTTCCAGTGTGCTAACAAATGTTTGATGGCAACTTATAACAGTTTCATGTGTGCTGCTAACAAATGTCTGCTGGCAACTTATAATGTATAAGCGCCGTCATTGTCATTAACTAAGGTTGGTCAATTTGGTCACGCCATTTTCATAGTGCACTTGCATTAACCCGAGCTACATACATGAAAATTTATGAAAAATTAATTGAATTCAACTAAATTTCAATACTAAAGCCAAGAAAGACTAAAATAGGTAGAAACCTTTTGTCAAATGTCAACCATTCCCTAAATGCCTCCACCTTTTTTCCCACAAAAGAACAAAACTATAGGTGGAGAATGGGATAGGGGTAACTTTTCTTGTACAATTATTGGTTAAAATGTCTAGTGATTAAATAATCATGTTTTATTATTACTTAATGGAAATGCATATATAACATGAATGTAATAGTTTCATTTGTATAACCTTTTAAAATATGTAAATATGTATATAGATAATATGAGTTTCATACTTTAAAATATGTAAAAAT